CCCCCATCCCCACCACTACTTCGTATTTAGCAAGCTCCAATTGACAATATTGATAAGCTTTAAAAACTTTAGAGCTGATTACAACTGTATCCACCACTAAGAAAAGAATTGCTAGTTAAAATGGGGAGGGGGGGGGACAATGGGAACGCAACATGTTTAAAGAAATATGAATAAGATACTATTGGTAAGCAACTTTCTTTTTTGAAAGTTTGAACATTATATTGAAAAGAATTGTTTTGACACTGTAAATTGAATTTATATTTGCTTTTACTTAACTAATTTGTATTTTAAGACAGCTAAAATATGATACTGTTAAACAAATTATAGCTCTGAAAGTATTTTTTACCAAGGCAAAAAGTTATTCATTGGGAAAAAAACACAAAACCAATTCTACATGCAGTGGTCCCCAAAAGAAAACATTGAAATCACTGAAATCTAGAAAACTCTGAAACTTAGTCAGCAATTTTTAAACTTTTTTTTGTAGGCCTAGACATATACATTTCAAAAATGCAAATTGCTTGTTTCTAGCTTAAGTTAAAAAGGATAAGTTGGAAAAATACTGCTTGATTTTTGTTTGAGAGCTTGAACATCTTGGTTTGCAGTGAAATGATGCCGGTTTTTTTAGATTTTGCAATATTTCAGAGCACAACATTCGTTTATGAACAGTTTATGTATTATTTGATGAAACATTTGAAAAATCTGGAAATATGTTGAATTTCCACAATATTGGCACTGTGGATCACAGACAAGGTTCAAAAGTTAAAAATAATTTAGAATTGATAAAAGAAACATTTTGTAACTTTGGTACTGAGTGCTCTTTTAAATCTATGTATTAAATATGGAGAAAAAAAACTTCTTAAAACAAGAAAAATAACTCCAAAATTTAAATAAATTTCACTCGAGATCTTAACTGAATTTTAATTGTATTAGTAAAAAGTGGTAAACATTTAAAACCTCAAGGCACGGAATCAACCGATGATATTTGGTTTGGAGATGAACACGTGCACGGAAATGTTTGGTTTGGTTTAGTTCCTGCACTAGACGTCAATAGTAAAGGTTTGGTTTGGTTGATCAACCCTAACTCTACGTGGTCGGATGGTTCCCATCTCCTCCGGGATATTTGTTAAACTCTCACTAGAGTCAGAATCTGATTCATCCTCCTCTTCTCCGTCCTCGACGCCCTCGACAGCCTCCAGCGCGCGGGTCAGCATGGAGTCGGCGGCCAGGCGTTCATACTCACGAGTACTGTGGTACAAACAGCTTAGGAACTTGAACACCTGAACAGATTATAGGTTAGGATAATCCTGCACCTGTACCTGTACCTGTACCTGTACCTGTACCTGTACCTGTACCTGTACCTGTACCTGTACCTGTACCTGTACCTGTACCTGTACCAACCTGTACCTGTATATCTCCAAGAACTGGATCTACTGACTGATCAACTGCTTGAACGACAAGTTTTCCAAGGGCTCTCTGTCCTATCCTCTGCAAATAATAAATGTTATCTTAATATTACATGTTCATTCAATTGTGGAATGTAAAGACGACATTTAATCAACATAATTTTGTAACTGATGTTGTTATAAAGCAATTAGTTTTACCAGTAGCTTGAAATCAACTTATTAATTTAAATGGGTCTGTGTGCACTGCACTTTTAGGTTCAGCAACATCATAATTTGAGCCTTACAGTCGTCTTCCTGATCCAGTTTTATGGGGCCTACTGGGAATGTTCTTTAAAGAGTTTTAAAGCAAGTGCAGAGTTATCGTAAAAAAGTTTAATGAAGAAAACTTTTTACAATATTCTGTATCAGTTTAAACTCTGTAATTTATTAATACTTCTATGCATATATCTTAGATGTAAATATTTGATAAGATTTCAGATTATCAACCGGATTCTTTTCAAGTATTTTATCAGTTCAGTTCAGGAATAAAAACAAATAAATGAGTTCATGAATATATGCGAGCAGTTCAAAACAACTGATTATGAACAATATTTATACATTTAGGAATAAAAACAAATAAATAAGTTCATGAATATATACCAACAGTACTAAACAACTGATAATGAACAATATTTATATATTTAGGAATAAAATTAAATAAATAAGTTCATGAATATATGCGAACAGTTCAATACAACTGATTATGAACAATATTTATGCATTTAGGAATAATAAGATTAAATTAGTTAATCGATTAAAAAAATATACTTAAAAAATCAATTGAAAACAAGCTATGAAAGAAAATGAATGAGCGTATATTAGTTGGTGAATTTTAAAGAAAAATATACGTAAATATATTTAACATTATATCTTCCAATTAAGTGGAAAATTAATATTGTTTTTGTGTCATTATTTTAGTCCTATCTTTTATATCTGTTGTTTGAATATTTATATTTTAGTCCTATCTTTTATATCTATTGTTTGAATATTTATATTTTAGTCCTATCTTTTATATCTATTGTTTGAATATTTATATTTTAGTCCTATCTTTTATATCTACAAGTTGAATATTTATATTTTAGTCCTATCTTTTATATCTATTGGTTGAATATTTATATTTTAGTCCAATCTTTTATATATATTTGTTGAATATTTAAATTTTAGTCCTATCTTTTATATATATTTGTTGAATATTTATATACTATAAGAGGCTTTAGGAGCACTTCCCGACCCTTTCTCACTTAATAGTGTTAGCTTTTAAATGTTGCATTCTCATAACTCATGAGAATGTCGAAAAATCTTTGGGCCCAATCGGTTTAGCTGTATGACGTTTATTGGACACAGACAAACAAACAACCCAGCAGACACATATAATCATATATTGCCAGGATTATTGGTTATATGGCTAAATCTGGGTGGAAAGGCAGTGTTGTGTGCAAATATGTCTGCTTGTTAAACTAGTATTTAATTTATGCAACCCCTCTGATTATATTTCTCATTAATTCAAGGTTAGAATAAATATATAAATATTATCTGAAAACTCTTATTTTTATATAATTCCAACAGTTTATCTTGATATCAGTACAGGCAGTGTAATAGTAGACTTTACATTTTTCTTAAATAGCAAAGCAAAAATTGCATGCATAGGATGCACTACACATGCAATATGCAATATGCATCACCGATGCCTCATGGAAAATCAGCTTTCCTAAAATATTTGAAATACAAAAAAATTGTTTCTTTAAAACCGATAAAATGCAATTCACAGAAGTTTTTTTCTTATTAAAATTGTTATCAAAATATTAATTCATCTAGATATAGACAACAGAGCAATAAAATTAATTTCCAAGCTCGACAGTTTACTATGCTTTTAACGTGTGTCTGTGCTCGTTTGATTGTATGAAGCGCGCGTGCAAAATAAGATAGATCATAGTTGTTAATATTCCCCCCTCCCTCCCCCTGGAATCCCTATTATGGATTGCTCTGTAGGGAGGCTAGGGACTGGGTTCAGGTTCATGTTTAAGTTCTATAGATAGTTATCCCACAGATGATCAACAAACAGACAACTAGAATCAATCCAACAAATTAAGAATAAATGAAAGAAAAATCAAACGTCAGAAAAGAAAATGAAATGCAGAAAGGAAAAAGCATTAGAGTAAGAACATGAGAGAAAAAGGCCAATAATATGCAGAAAGAAAAAATATTGAAAGGTAGAGCATTGTGGAAAACTAAGGAAAAGTAGAAGAGGAAAAGAATTAAAGAAAAAGCACGGGAGAACAATAAGCTAAAAAGAAACAGAACGAAAGGAAGAGTATGGGATTAAAATGAAAGAAAATAATGATAGGAAGAGTATAAGGTAGAAAGGAAGGAACAGTTTGGGGCAGAAATGAAAGTAAATAATGATAGGAAGAGTATGAGGTAGAAAGGAAGGAACAGTTTGGGGCAGAAATGAAAGGAAATAATGATAGTAAGAGCATGAGGTAGAAAGAAAGGAACAGTTTGGGGCAGAAATGAAAGGAAAACATGATAGGAAGAGCATGAGGTAGAAAGGAAAGGAATAGTATGGGGCAGAAATGAAAGGAAATAATGACAGGAAGAGCATGAGGTAGAAAGGAAAGGAATAGTATGGGGCAGAAATGAAAGAAAAATAATGATAAAATAGTTTGGGAGAGAAGAGGCACGTTTATAGAGAAAGGTGAATTAGTAAATGAATGAAAAGAACAGTATAAAAGAAAGAGAAAGTGGAGAGGGTAACAATTATATCAAACGATGAAATGGAAAGAAACGATAAGTAGAAAGGAGAAAAAATAGAAAGAAAAATATAAAGAATCAAAATAAAAGGAAAGCCTTCAGAAGAAAACTGGGATAAGCAGACAGATCAAAGAATTAAGCAAGAAAAAGAGAAGACATGAAGAAAATAATGAAGAAAATAAGAAAGTAAACGTAAGAAACAGTTTTAAAAAGATTATGGTTTCCTAGATATACATAGTTTAGTCAAGAATCATTTATGGCATTCTTATCTAGGAAGGAATCTGATTGAAAACTCATCTAAAAATACGAATTTTTTCTAAATATTTCCTACCATAGAGTTAAGAGTCCTGAGCATGTTGAGAACCTCTTTAATCTTGTCCTCCAGCAGAGAAAGTCTAAACCTCTCAGCCTCGAGAACCTGGAGATCGGAGGATATCTCACCAAAATCATCTTTGCGTCGACTCAACTCATTGATCAAACAACCTCTCTCCTGAAAATAACAACAATTTTAAGAGAAAAATATTTCAAGGGACCCTCTATCCCAAATGATATCCATCCCAAATGATATCCATGTTTTTGTTAATTTAATTTGTTTATTTTCATTGGAGGGTTCTCTGCAAAAGTGACTTGCACATTTCTTGCTTTTAAGAGTTAAACACTTCTTAAGTTAAAAAAACGAAGTTATCATCCACACCTTTTATCAGATTCAGGTTTCAAGGGTACCGTTGTAAATCGGGAATTGCTATCTTTACACATGGAGGGTCACGAGGATCCTTTTAACAGTTTGAGAGATTCTAGTTTCTGTTGCAAAAAGTCATGAATAATATATGAATAACCCCATAGCAACGATTGCAGCATACAGGGTGGTCCACATCGTATTGGATTTTTGAGTCATACCGGACAATTTTGAATGATAAAATATAACTGCACAAAATACAGGTTTCTTTTTTTCTTTGCGTATTTTGGCATTGAAACCTGGCGATAATCAAATATATCCAATACAAAAAGAAACTATGAATAACAGACATCATGAAAATATTTGGTTTTGGTATTTTAAAAAAATGGCGAGAGATATTAAACTAATCACGTGAACACCCTGTCTTAATGGTGTAAGTTTTCACTATAATTAAACAAGCTTCCTATTTTTTAGCAAAATTATCTTTTACATGAATTGGAATTATTTCTTCAAAATAGATTTGAAATGATAATAAATGTGCCCGTCAGTTTCTCTAAATAATTAAAAGATATTTTTAATCTTCAAAAAAATTAGATACAGAAAGTTTATAAATCTGGCTATACCAATAACTGTAAAAAAAATACAAATAAAGCTTAAAAATGAAAAAATATCTTGGAAATAAGAAATGGGGTTTGAATGAAAAATAATCTAAAATGAAAAAAAACCTTGAATAATAAATCCGCATGATTTAGCACGGTTCGTTTAGTCGCTGAATACAATCAGTATAATCAATGTCGAACAAGAGAATTCTATTTTTGGTTTGATGTGAGAAATGAACTCAACTCTGCCATGTCACTAAGCAATCTAAGCCCCCCCAGTTTAGGTTAGGGGGTATAGGAGTAGGATAATAGTAGGACAAGAGCAATAGGATTGGGTTAGGAGGTATAGGATAGGATAGATCGTATAGGAGTAGGTTAATAGGTAAAGGAGTAGAATAAGGGATCTAGAAGAAGGATAAGAATAGGAAAAGAGGGATAGGATATATAGGAAGTATAGGAAGTATATGAGTAGGGATATAACGTATAGGAGTAGGATAGAAGGTAAAGGAGTAGGATAAGAGTAGGATATGAGGTATAGAAGGTATAGGAGTAGAATATAACGTATAGAAGTACGATAAGAGGTAAAGGAGAAGAATAAGAGTGAGATAGGAGGTATAGGAGTAAGAGAAGAGTAGGGTAGGAGGTATAGGAGTAGATTAAAGGGACTGTAAAGGAAAAAAGGGGGTATAGGCTGAAAGCTAATCACTTTAGCTCTTGATCGCGACCCATGAAAGTTATATCTGCTGTTCCTGTCTCGAAAAATTTATATAAAACTGTGTCAAATTTATACGAAAATTCATATATATACAACTTTGTATAGAAATAGTAGGTTTAGACAAATCATACATAGCAAATATGCAACCAATCTGAAAACGAAGATATCCTAGAGAAACCTAATTGTAACTTATTATTATTTATAATTTTTATTTTTATTTTAAATATATATATTTGATAATATTATTTATAAGTCCGTATTACGTCACCAGAACTCCCGCCAATGAGAGTGCAATACACTGGTCATATGTCTCCAGCTGCTGTATCATGTGATCAGCATACTGCACTCTCATTGGCATTGACAAACTTCAGGTTTGGCATTAGACTGACCTGAACCCATTCCTGCTCTGCCTGGTTGTACTTCTTCTTCAAGGTTTCAATCTCTCTCCGGAGTCGGGATATACCACTTTCTCCAGTAATAGGACTAACTGTATTCTATGATCACAAAAAGAGAGATTATTACAATTTGTCAAAATGAGCACAGGGGAAGAAGGTTCTAAATATGGGATGAGCAATAATTAGAATGACAGTTGCGGAAGTTACTTCCCCTGAGTTGCATTCGAAACAAGTGAACAATCTCTTCAAGAGGTCTTTATACATTTAGCACTGAACTAGACAGAAGGACACATTTATCATGCTTTACTGTTGTAACTTTGTGACCTCGTAGCTCCTCTAGTTTAGATTTTATGCATAACTATGAGAAAAGCAAGTTTATCCGACTTCATATAAGGAATTCAAAACATTGTTTCTTTTTCATATTTGCTCTTCAAGAAGAAGAGTTATGATTGAAAACATTTAAGATTTCACCTGTGACTGCATTGAAGAGCTGGAGAGTTTTGACCCTGCGCTGTGATGACCGCTAGATGGTGTATTCGACCTCGGGGACTTCTCACTTGCGCCACTAGAGGGAGTATTTGACCTCGGGGACTTATCCCTAGATCTAGAGGATGGAGGTCGGGGTGGTAAACCTTGATCTCGTACACTATATCCTTCATCTTCCCATCCTCCTGTAACAGAAGACAAAAATTTCAATATATATTCGCAGATTTTTAAACATCATGTTTTAATATAAATTCAGCTAATTCTTAAAGGGACTGTCAATGTGATTTTAAGGGAACCTTTCATTAAAGAATGCCATAAACGATTGGAAACATGGTCCGAAAACGATAGTTTTTATTTTCTTTATTTTCTTGTTCGTTTTTTACGAAATTTGGGTTTACGACTGAAAACTGTCGAACATTAATCTTTCTCTTTAAATAAAGAACCTCAATAAAGCCTTTTTAAATATAAGAAGAAAGTGGAATTTGAAGAAAAAAGAAAAAATCAATATTTAAAGTGATCAAAATAAAGTCAAAACTGAGTCAAGTAAAGTAGGAGAGAAAAAGTTTAATACCTTGGGTTGTTTTTTCCGGGTCCTGATCACTATCCGTAGAATCCGTAGAATATAATCCACTGTCTATAGTAGACATAGGCCGGAGCTTTCCTTCAAACCTAGATAAATATACTGTCTGTAGTAGACATATGCCGGAGTTTTCCTTCAAACCTAGATATATATACTGACATAGGTCAGAGCTTTCCATCAACCTAGATATAAACTGTCTATATTGGACATAGTTCGGAGCTAGATATATACTGTCTATAGCAGACATAGGCCGGAGCTTTCCTTCAAACCTAGATATATATACTGTCTATAGTAGACATAGGTCAGAGCTTTCCATCAACCTAGATATAAACTGTCTATATTGGACATAGTTCGGAACTGGATATAAACTGTCTATAGTAGACATAGGTTGGAGCTTTCCTTCAAACCTACATATATATACTGTCGTAGTAGACATAGGTCGTAGCTTTCCTTTAAACATACGTATATACTGTTTGTAGTAGACATAGGTCGGAGCTTACCTTCAAACCTATATATATACTGTCTGTAGTAGACATTGGTCGGAGCTTTCCTTCAAATCTAGATATATACTGTCTGTAGTAGACGATAAAACTCGTATTTGAAAATATTTGAACAATTCCTTTTATGTGTTTAAACTGTTGATAATAAAGAAAAGATTATCTGTTTATTATGTCTCCAAGTTCACAGGAAACATAGCATGAAACTTGGTCGTAAACTCAGGGTTTGACACATATAGTATATAGAGGTGGGTGCTAACCATAAATGGATGGATACTGTCCTAAGAATATACAGGGTTACCCAAAAAGGATGAGACTTCAGAGAAGATTGTTTAAAAAAATTTTAAAAAATTATTCTTGTATTCATAGTCTCTTTCTGCTTTAAACTTTTTTCTTTCTATGCTAATAACCATAAAATACCGTCAAAAGACAATATTTGAGACAGAACCTGCAAAATCAAATCTTCAAAACATTATATTTCAAAATGTTTCTGTTTTATTGAAGATCTGTTATATGCATCTTATATGGTATAGTTTACTCTTTGAAATAAGTTGTGGAAAAAGAAGAAGTAGGTACAAATTTTTGTGGTAACTCACAATACCCTACGGAAGGTTTATGGGCGGTCGGAATAAAAAACTGTTGTTTTTTCAAATGTAGGAACCCCGACAATGAAAAATGGAGAATCCGCGAAATTTTTCGCTGTGATTTTTACATTATAAATGTACGAAGAAGAGAGGCTCAAAGATAGATAATGAACAAAATTCTGAAATGTTCAGTGGAAAGAGAGGCGCTAAGCACCCTGTAAGCCTAGTAATATATATTTACTTCATGAATTTGTAAAAACATGAAAGATACTAGAGATAGCTGTAAATGTGTTCATATCTGATGTGTAATCAAAAATAAATATCTTCTTAGTTTTTTCCCTTGCACATCAATCTTTTTGTATGACAAGCAAAAATATAAATATAAGTAAACACAAAAGGAGATTTACAAAGAAATAATTTGAAGAAACTGTCGTTGGTGGACTATGTTTATTGGGAGTACCCTCGTCACTGAAAAGTGAAAACTTTGGTTTATTTGAAGTACCAGGACTACTTTAAGGCAGCTAGAACAAGCTATATATGCAGACTATAGACGGGAAAACGGGACAGTGCTATGCTAAGAATATATGCAGACTATAGACGGGAAAACGGGACAGTACTATGCTAAGAATATATGCAGACTATAGACGGGAAAACGGGACAGTACTATGCTAAGAATATATGCAGACTATAGACGGGAAAACGGGACAGTACTATGCTAAGAATATATGCAGACTATAGACGGGAAAACGGGACAGTACTATGCTAAGAATGAATCATCTCCTTCTTGAGGTAATGTGTCCATGGTTAATATGCCTTTTCTTTCTTTAGAGAAGTACTTTATTTTTCTTGGAGTAGATGAACTTGTTCTCTAGTGTGTTCGAGATTGCACTGTATAAGTAGTTCAACTGGCTATACTCAAGTCAACTACTTCTCCCTGTTCATTAAATCTAATGTACAGTGTACTTCATTAAACTTTGGATTAGGTAAATAATGTTTAAACTCAAGTTATAATACTAAATAATTCAATGAGCATGAGAAACATCACTTGTGCAGAGTATACATATTACATACAAATCCATTTCACTTAATAAATAATTATTAAGCTACTTGTAAACCTATTTGCTTTTATAACAACATCGAATACACTTAAAGTTTGCATTAATATAATTTTCTTTTTTCACAAATTTATAGTAATCACTTTACTCTATTACCTTCTTGAGACCAGTATTCTCCGTTCCAGCTCCTGAACCCTAGCCTGGAGTACTGGAACCTGCCTGGAGTCAAGTTCTAAATCCTGAACCTTGTTCAAGGAACTCAGGAGTACCTCCTTTGTAGACTGCAGTTCACATAGCAGACTCCTCCTAGATATAGATAGATAGATAGATAGATAGATAGATAGATAGATAGATAGATAGATAGATAGATAGATAGATAGATAGATAGATAGATAGATAGATAGATAGATAGATAGATAGATAGATAGATAGATAGATAGACAGATAGATAGATAGATATAGAGGAATGGATAAATTGCTAAATAGATAGATAGATGGTTAGTGTGAGGTTAATAAAAAAATTAAAAGATTTATATCTATATATATATCTATCTATCTATCTATCTATCTATCTATCTATCTATCTATCTATATAAGATGAATCAATAAATAAAAATATCTTAGGATGAATGAAAGGATATATTAAGGATAAACGAATAAATAAAGGATATATCAAAGATAACTGAATAAATGAAAGTATGATAGGAAGAATGAATAAATGAATGAATGAATGAAAATATATTTGTTTTTATAAGTATCTGTTTACTGGTTTAATTGTCCCTCATAGTTTAATTTTGACATATACTCCCTCTTATAGAGATAGGTAGCAGAGTTCCTTGGGTAGCAGAGAGTGGTGGGGGGAAAGGTGTTGAATACAGGGGAGGAGTAATAAAAGCCTTTTATTTTTGTTTGTATTGGCAGTACGAATATATTAAGGAATCGGTGAAAATTTTGACATTTCAAAACGTTTTTCAACACAATTCCTATAACGCCAAAAATCGGGAAATTGTTCAATGATCAATTTATTATACATGATTTAAAAAAATTATTGTTCAAATTTATTTTGATTTATAATTAAAAAGAAGCAATCTCAATATTTTTACACTTTTTTTAATTATCGAAAAATTGTATTTTTACCGTTCTTTAACTGAGCAATATTCTTTAGACGCCCTTAAATGCGCGTGACACACGAGTATGTATGTTTGTGAATGCGCGAAGATGAAACCGGTTTAAAATGACCTTGCAACAAAGGTTCAGGCCTCGCAAACAATTCTTGCAATTTGCAACATCTATACCGTTCGCGGATGCAGCACAAACACATATACATCAACTTATATGTGCAAAAATAATATTTCAATCTTTTGTATCTCGTTTAAGACTTTAAAAAACTTTTTAAATTCAATTAACGTAAAATGAAAATCTGAGCAAAATCTCTTTTTCCCAGTCTATCCCTTTAAAAGACTCGTTAACGTTTTAACAAAAACATTTCTTCCCTTTGAAGTTTAAAAATCTTGTTTCTATACGCTCCATATAAGAAGTTAACTGTAAACAGTTAAAACTTCAAAACATGAACAAACCAAATAACTTTTTAAAATACACATTACACACACTTTATTCGATGAGTCATGTTTTTTATCAACATAGAAAATCGAAAAAAAACTTTTTTTGGGTTTCTTGAAAACTTTTAAAAACAAATCATTAAAAAAGGAAGGAAAATAAGACCATCTTACAAAGCTAAAACAAAAGTTAAATTAATAAATTTTATCTTAAAAACACAGGACAATGAATGAAAAATGAAATGATATAAATCCTAACTGAAATATGTCTGATAAAAAACTGGTTTAGAAGTCTAGGATGTCCCTTATATGATGCAAAAAAAAAGATTGAATTTATCAGGTGATATTTATATTTTAATACAGAACTCTTGACTTGACAGAAGGAGAAGGTCAAGCTTTAAGCGACATCACTGCCACGACTTTGTGACCTCGTAGCTCTTCTTGTTTTTGTTTTTGAGAGTAGTAAATTTCTTTGGTGACATGCTAGAAATTAAAACATTTTCTTCTCCTCAATAGCACAAAAATAGGAGTAAGATTTCAATCTATTGTAAGAATCCTTAACTTGACGATTATTTTGAATTTCTACAGTTTTGTAAAATACATAGAACTATCTTAAAATATGCATTTAAACAACAACAAGCCAAGAAGTAGAATACCTAGGGAATCAGATTTTTGCTTAGTTTTAATTTATCTTCAAATAACAGAACTGTGCTGTTCTCTGTGTCACTGTTTACCTGTTTTGTCTAAGCTGTGCTGCTCTCTGTGTCACTGTTTACCTGTTTTGACTAAGCTGTGCTGCTCTCTGTGTCAGTGTTAACCTGTTTTGTCTAAGCTGTGCTGCTCTCTGTGTCACTGTTTACCTGTTTTGACAAAACTGTGCTGCTCTCTGTGTCACTGTTTACCTGTTTTGTCTAAGCTGTGCTGCTCTCTGTGTCAGTGTTAACCTGTTTTGTCTAAGCTGTGCTGCTCTCTGAATCAGTGTTAACCTGTTTTGTCTAAGCTGTGCTGCTCTCTGTGTCAGTGTTAACCTATTTTGTCAAAGCTGTGCTGCTCTCTGTGTCACTGTTTACCTGTTTTGACAAAACTGTGCTGCTCTCTGTGTCAGTGTTAACCTGTTTTGTCTAAGCTGTGCTGCTCTCTGTGTCAGTGTTAACCTGTTTTGTTTAAGCTGTGCTGCTCTCTGTGTCAGTGTTAACCTGTTTTGACTAAGCTGTGCTGCTCTCTGTGTCAGTGTTAACCTGTTTTGTCTAAGCTGTGCTGCTCTCTGTGTCACTGTTTACCTGTTTTGATCTCTGTGTCACTGTTTACCTGTTTTGTCTAAGCTGTGCTGCTCTCTGTGTCAGTGTTAACCTGTTTTGACTAAGCTGTGCTGCTCTCTGTGTCACTGTTTACCTGTTCTGACTATGCTGTGCTGCTCTCTGTGTCACTGTTTAACTGTTTTGACTAAGTTGTGCTGCTCTCTGTGTCGGTGTTAACCTGTTTTGTCTAAGCTGTGCTGCTCTCTGTGTCACTGTTTACGTATTTTGACTAAGCTGTGCTTCTCTCTGTGTCACTTTTTACGTGTTTTAACTAAGCTGTGCTACTACCTGTTTACCTGTTTTGACTAAGCTGTGCTGATCTGTGTTTACCTGTTTTGACTAAGCTGTGCTCCTCTCTGTTTACCTGTGTTTGACTAAGCTGTGCTGCTCTCTGTTTACCTGTGTTAGACTAAGCTGTGCTGCTCTCTGTTTACCTGTTTTGTCTAAGCTGTGCTGCTCTCTGTTTACCTGTGTTTGACTAAGCTGTGCTGCTCTCTGTTCACCTGTTTTGTCTAAGCTGTGCTGCTCTCTGTTTGCCTGTGTTTGACTAAGCTGTGCTGCTCTCTGTTTACCTGTGTTTGACTAAGCTGTGCTGCTATCTGTTTACCTGTTTTGACTAAGCTGTGCTGATCTCTGTTCTACTAAACTAAGCTTGTTTTCTGACTGCTTAAGCCTGGTGTGAAGGTTAAAGAACTCCTGCTGGGAGTTGTCCAGGTCTAACCTGCTCTTCTCCAGGGACTCCTGGGCAGCCTCCAGGCTTAACCTAGATAATTTATGTAAATCAGAGTGTTTAAATTGTCTTTGTTTGTTTTACTTATAGCCGACCAAACCTTACCCTTACAGAGAGGAACTCAGTGAATATATCAATTCTCTCTACTATACAAGCTCGTCATAATGTCTGCTGCTCTATTCCTTTTCTAAATGGATTCTGGAAGATTGTTTCTGCTCAATCGCACCTTACCGTTTTAGTTTTGGCGAGTGCAGACTTTCTTGCCGTATACTTTCTTTTTCAAAATCTTCCAAAATCCACAATGAAACCGTGAGCTGTCGCCCAAGTATTTTTAGCTACCTATTGATACTGTAGAGCTCGTAGATAGAGAGAATTCATATTGTTTGCGTAATGTCCTCTAAAACTCAAAAAATGTAGCAAAAAAATGTTATCCCTTACTTCTCAGACTAACCGTAGCATGGTGTTAAGTGTAGACCATGTCTGCTAATTACTTAACAAATTTAAAAATACCACACTTCAAATATCAAAAATACCACGGGCAACACCGGACACTTCAAATATCAAAAATATATATTACCCACCCCCATATTCCTTGATTTAAATATTTGCAAGAAATTCATAAATCTGCTCCTTATGTAAACATCCTGTCGGAGTTTTAAAACAGAGACGAGGACGAACTAAGGAAAACTACAGGGTTCCTACTACTGGAGTAGGATAGCAGAGACGAGGACGAACTAAGGAAAACTATAGGGTTCCTACTACTTTGGAGTAAAATAACAGAGACCGGATACCGGAAGGATGAAGGATAATTATGGGTTTCTACAAGAATAAAATAACAGAGACGGGACGGATAGGTAAAATCCGGGTTCCCCCTAGAATAGAATATCAGAGACGGGACGGATTAAGGATAGCTCTGGGCAGTGGGTTCCCACTAGAGTAGAATAGTATGTACGGGACTGATTAAAGAAAACTCCGGGTTCCACATTGAGTAGAATAGTATGTACGGGACGGATTAAGGATAACTCCGGGTTCCCAATAGAGTAGAATAGTATGTACGGGACGGATTAAGGAAAACTCCGGGTTCCCACTTGAGTAGAATAGTATGTACTGGACGAATTAAGGAAAACTCCGGGTTCCCACTAGAGTAGAATAGTATGTACGGGACGGATTAAGGAAAACTCCGGGTTCCCACTAGAGTAGAATAGTACGTATGTACTGGACGGATTAAGGATAACTCTGGGTTCCCACAAAAGTAGAATAGTATGTACGGGACAGATTGAGTAAAAATCCGAGTACCCCTTGGCATTAGAATAAAATGTAAGTTGTGGAGGGGACCCGAGACTGAAAAGGGAAAACTAATATCAGCCTAACAGGAGGGATTAAGTGGAAATACGGGCACCCACTACAAGAGGAGATATTCATGCAGTAAATTTAAATGTGCATGTTAACACAATATATAAATAAATATGATACATAGCTAAAGAAAGGGTAAATGGAAAAGAGAATTATTCATATATTTTTTTAACAAAATAATTTTGAATAGATTTTAAGAAGGGAATAATACATCAATTACATATATGATATAGGCGATGGAGGGGAGTCACGGGGAGGGGGAGGGGGGGGGATCGTCCACTAATAGCGCCAATATGTGAACACTGAACTGGATAAAAAGATCAATATATCTAAATATATATAAGTAAAAATGATCTAAATGATTATGCAGTGTGCAATGTGCAGGTTTGTATTAAGTTCTTCATCCGGGTACTACAAGGATACACGGATACAGTGATACAGGGAAACAGTGATTCAGGGATACAGGGATACAGAGATACAGGGATACAGGGATACAGGGATACAAGGATACAAGGATACAAGGATACAAGGATACAAGGATACAAGATTCTTATAAATTTTTATATATGGTATTAAATATTTACATCAGTAAGCAATTTCATTTAAATGTATGCAATCAAAACGTTAAATTAATGTAATAAATCTTAAATTTTATCAAAATAAGTTAATTTCAAATGGAGTTTAAGTTCTTTAAGTGCTTTCTATCTAAATCTTGACACGGGAAATCCACTACGTTGTGCAATTAAAAACTGTAAAGTTCTCGTAAATCTATCCGTGTCATCAAACTCATCCCATTCTTTTACACTGGAGCAAAAAGTTTAAATTTGAAATAAGAAGTTGATGCTTTGATGGGTGGGTGTCAGGTTTTACTACTGTAACACGCCTACCCCACCCACCCATCGCAGAAAATGTCCCAAATATGTCCGACTCTAAATCCGCCAAAACTACGTCTTTTAAATCATTTAAACTGCTTGAAGCTTTCAGCTATTCATTTCTAGGGCTCCAAAAAAGTAAAGAGGGCTGGTGAGGTAAAACCAAGGAAAAAGACGCATCAAAAAGACGCATCAAAAAGACGCCCGTTTTAAAGCTTTTTTAGCTTTTATAAGTTTTTTTGTGTGGAAATTTTAGCGCGTTGTAACCTTTCCCCGTCTTCTCCCATTTATCTTTTCTGTCCTTTCTTTAACCTTTTTCTTTCTCTTAAATCACTTTACTGACTTACTTTCGTTTCATTTTCTTTCTACTTTCTCTTTCTATGACCCCCACATAAGAATGTATATGTATAAATATAGAGTTGCCGAGGTATCAATTTCGCTAAATATCCTCATGCATTGCTAGTATCATAACATTAATACTACCGTTTTAGTTTTGGC